GCATAAGTACCGTTCTTGTAACTAGGACAGGTTAACCTAGCCTATATAAATCTATTAATTGTAAAAGAACTAGGAGAGAGGTAGATTGGTCCACTGAATATGAAGAACACTTTTCATATTTTGCTTGAATATAAAAGAAGAAATGGATATAGAGATTAATAGTGATTTTCCTTAGCAAAACTGCCTTCTCTTTGTTTCCCTCTCTCCTGTTCCCTCCACTTCACCAAGGACTATAGTCAGGACTCTAGCCAGGTAATTTTCCTATTTTGTGGTAAATTACAAAATAACCTGAGAATAATTGCTGAATAAATGATTTTAAATTCATCAGTGGTATCACTACTGAAGGAGACACAGAACAGACAGCTAAGCCTTACCTAGAAAAGCCCTGCAAGGCTGTAATTTCCTAGACACCTGTATACGCTGAATTATGAACTGTATATGAACTTTTAGACTCATGAAATGCCCCAACAGAATTTTCATCTGTGTCAGTGACACTAAAATTTTACCTGATATTTTCACACATAATTTTTCTGGAGGGTCTGAAAAACTTGGAGCCTTTCATAGCGTCATTTTTGTTCCTGTTATTCACATATATTTTCCCTGTGAAGCACATTACAGCTTGGGAGTACCCAGTCCTGTGACAGGTAAATTAGTCAGAGGTACATAAAGTCAAAAGCCTCACACCAGAAGTCACAAGGAAATCTCATAGAAGAGAATGCACTGACATTGTGGAACAGTTTTTGTAAATACATAGGTTTCTTCTCTTTATAACTCATGATTTTAACATGTTCTTCATCTTTTGAAACAGGGTTGAATTCTCCATGCTTCACCTTATTTCCATATTTAATGAATCTAACTTTTCAGTCAGTATAAATTCAAATACCAGTTTGATTGAAATGTCCCATTAAAATAAAAAAAAAAAGCCACAATTAAAACTTGTTGAAACTTACTCTGGCAGTTGAATACAACAGACCAACAAATTAAATTTAAAAAATTTTCTATGTGTACCTAACTTTAATCTACCCATTGTCAAATAAGCCCTATATATGCACTTGAAAATGAGTTACCATTCACTCCAAGTTGAAAATTCTTTTTTTTAACTTTTTAGCCACAGACTTTTTCCTAAGACTTGTAAGATTTTACCTTAAAGACTTTACCATAAAAATGTCCTATGTTTTATTCAAGTGTTCTCTGATGTTTGGATCTTGAATAAAACTACAAAACATAACGTAATGGCTTCTGACTTATGGACACACTAATGTCACAGGTTGAGTGGTTTATTTGAGGATCTGTAAAATGTCAAAACAGAGAAACAGTAGTGGGCAATATAATTAGACTGCATCACAAGGTGTTTGCAGAAAGGAGGGAAAATGGTCCATTCAACCTTAAGTTTCACCTTCCTGACTTCTAAGTACTAGTGCTGTCTCATCTAGGTGAGACCAAACATGTTGTGGAATTGTGCAGTAAGATCATCAAATTAACCAATTAGGTAATACACTTGAAAAGTTATTTTAAATAAAGGTTTAAGAGTAATGAGGCAACAAGGATTCACTGTATGGTAACGTTTCATTATGAAACTCAGTTACGCAGCAAAACTTTTAGCTTCCCCTTGTTGCCTTCCAAGAAAATGATGCTACTTTCCGAAAGACATTATGCTTAATTAATCCCTAGTGTCATCAAGGGATGCAGTTCCGCCACCAGAAGCAGTTTGTATACAACAAAGATGGAAGGCAAATTTGCACAACTACCCACCAGCAAGGATTTTGCTATTAGACTGTGTGTAACTCCAAACTCTATATTTACCTCTAGCTTTCTTTCTTTCTGGAGTAACCTCGCAATCTTCCCTGTATGTGCTTCTGAGCCATTTGTTTACATGCAAAATCTGATGGCATGACTAACTTTCCCCTCTCTTTAGCTTATTTTCTTCCCCTCAAGATTCACTTTTTGCTTTTTTCTCTGCTACCTTTGCAAAATCTACTGAGACAGAAGGCTAACTAGCTCTCACTGAGCCTGTGTTCCTGAGGCTAGGTTACCAAGTTGCCTAACTTAGAATGGACTGTAGTATCTCCATACTGTGTGCGGTAACTTCTGTCTTTTGACTACAATATAGACATAAATTTAGTTCAAGAACCTTTCGGACAGGAAGGCTGTCTTTTCATTACATACTCAATATCCATTATAACAGAACCTGGCTTCTAGTTCAGGGTCTGAAGTCATTTCACAATGTAAATAAGAGAAAACAATGATGATAAAAAGAAAATTTTCATCATAAGGAACTTGATTAATCTTCTGCATCCTGCATGAAAGTATCTGTACATGTATAAAGTTTAATAATTTTTTGTTTTTTTGTTTTTAAATACAGTGCCAATTAAGATTAATTCCCTATTTCCTGTGATTTCCACCCAGATATATTTATGTCTCAGCATTACAGTGAGTTCCCTTAGTTGATGTTTAAAATGCATCTCTAAAATTACTGTATCATCCCAAATTTAGGGTTATGGAATCTTCCCAGCAACAATTGTATCTGGGTAAAAAATTGTTTGTTAAATGGAAATGGAAACTACATGAATTACTTCTTCTGTTACTCTTGCAATACAGTGCTTTGATTCACATGCTGTTAGAGACTCACTGTGACATGCAGCATTGTTTTCAAGATGCCTACAGCTCCCAAAGGTATCATCATGAGAATTAGAGGTCTCAGTAGTTTTTTCATGGAATGGGATTTCAAGCAATATATGCACATTACTTCCTCGTTTGAACATTACCCTAACAGCATATCCAACTTTATCCATCTTTAACCTACAAGAGAGCAATCAACTTGTTGTAGACTTGCAGTTTTGAAGAACAGATGATTAGATCACTTGGAGGTCTGCTCTGGATCAGTAGTACCTGTTCTATAGCAACTACACATGAGCAGGAATAAGTTTTCTTTTGGGTGAATTTGCAGAAACTTTTCTACATTTCACAGTGATCCAAACTAATGGTACATGCTTTTATTTTACTGTTGTCATATGTTCAAGTCCCTCTTTTGGCCTATTACACAGCATAGATAACAGTTTATAGCAAAGAAATAATTTAAGAAAAATCAATAGAAGATACTTCTATGGCAAAATAATTGTCCATAAACAGATAACAAACAACATAGCAAGAATATGGATTAGTACCAATTTAATCACTTTTTCAGAAGTTAATAGACAGACCTGCCCTAGTCAAATTAAATTTTAAGAATAATTTCATGAGATTTGTGTTGTAGCACTTTGTACTGTAAATGTTTCTGTGGAAACTGATTCTCCCTTCAATAACAGTCAGAGATACTGTTTCCACAATTTTATGTAGACTGTTTACTTGGAATTTCCTAAAGTTTTTTGGCATGTAGCTCATGGTTATGGGAGCTACAGCATTTACACAATTCTCTACTTCTTGTAACCAAGCGCTATTTTCTTTCTTAAGGATGAGGCACGATGTGGTTGAGCTTGGGATGAATATGATGAGAAAATACCATCAAAACAGGGAGATCAGATATGCCTAAACCACTCTAAAAACATTAATTTGCCTACTATCACCTTAGTAGAAAATTAAGCATGTCTTTCTTTCTGCCTCATTTGTACACGACACCTTGAAGGGGCTGATGGCAGACTTATCCTTTCTGGATTTTTTGTATTAGAGACAAGTCTTTCATCTGAAGAGGAAGGATGCTTCACCTTCTCGGAGCTTCCCAGCCTTTGTCCCCACCAACCTCCCAAAGATAGTCTTTTTTTTCCCCATTCTTCAGCCTCTTCTCCTGTGAACTTGCCCATCTGTTTGTATTTACTACTGGATTCCCCTCTCCCACACTCCCCATACAGTCAATGAACCACACAGTACACTCCTCCTGCTTCTTCCTCCCCCAGGAGTTTGCCTGTGGCAGCTCTCTCCCTCCTCCTTCTGAGGAACTGTTTTCCCAAGCAAGGGAGCAGATTGCACTGGGATCACTGTCCCTGGGGCTTGTGTGGCAAAGTGCCCCTGGGCTATGAGAGATTCCCTACTGACCTTGCAGCTCTGCCAACTCCCCGTTGGTCCCTGCCACCCACAGACTACTCAGCGCGAACTGCAGGACAGGGAGCACAGCAGCACTGCATGCCGATGTGTCTGTGCCGAGGGATATCGTCAGAGGTGATGTAAAACTGGTGCAGCTTCTCTGGGAGGACATCCCACTTTAAGGCACACATCCACATGTGCATGCCATGTTTCCAGCACAACAGTTCCTTAATGAGTGCATTACTTCTTGCCCACTCATCCCTTCATGTCTCATCTTGCTCAGAGCAAGATGTTGCTTTCTTAAATGCTTATGTAGTACTTGGTGCACAAACCCTGTGAAACTAAGGCTACACAGCAATAAAAATGTTAGCAACAGACAGAAGCAGACTTCAAAAATAAAGGAAATAAACAAAATCAGAGCTAACATGATAAAAAATTCCAAAATAATAGTAGGGGTCAATAAGGAATTTTCATTCTTGCTCTCCTATTACTACATGAGGGTAAAGAAATACTGCCTGAAAGTAAAAGCTGGTCTTTGGAAACTCATGAAAAGAAAATATTTCCCCTTCCTAGTCACAGTACATAATTAGCTTGTGGTAATAACTGCCCTTGTTCACCAAGGCCACATACTCTCTAAGATATTTATACAGATAGTACGAAATACTTACAGTTATCCGTTTTGTAAGAGGGATACTAATCACAAGATTCAGGCTTTAGGTCAATCTCTGTTAAAGACAAGGAGGAGACAGATACACTAGCTCTTTCAGAGAGATTGAATATTAAACTCAAAAGACTTATTGTCTGATCCTGTATAGCAATTTCTACTGTAAAGAGAGCAAGGAAGATGAAGAAGGCTGAAGGATCAAGAGGAAAGGTATAATGGGGGAAAAAAAATCCATTAGAATAGAATGAGCATAAAAGAATGGTAAAGAAAAAGGCTTGAGCTGATGTTTAGGCAAATTCTCCTTTACTTTGTTCCAGTTTAATGTTTTTCTGGAGCTCTGAAGATGTTTTGTTAAAGTCTATATATTTACTTGTGTTTTATAGAAACATGCTTTTGAGGATCTTGTTATTTGACTTGGAAGCTACCTCCAGTGTTTACCGAGATGATTACCACTATGCAGTAAGTCTGACTTTGTTCCCAGTTCCATTTACAGTAATATTGATCTAATACTACAATTAATTAATCCTAGAAAGGAACATCCAGCAATTAGAAATTTGTGAAGACCGGATACCATGTGCTGCTACAGTTAGAGAAAGTACATATTATAAAGCCCACTACTTGTGCACCGCGTGTAAAAAAAAACTATTTACTTTAAAAAAAAGATTATTGAAGAAATATGACTCAGAGGTATTTAATTAATGCATGAAGTGGAGAGTTATCAAGTGATTGACTGACCATTCTGGATATTAAGCTAAACATTTGATGAGATTTGAACAAATTTTCTTTGGTTTTGATCCTCGTATCTTCCATTGCCCTGGCCAGCCAGTCCCCAAGAAAGAAAGAACTAATTCTGTCCAAAATACTGAGGCAAAGTTAGTATTCTGTATGTTACTGGCCCATTTGAAATTGCAACTGGGTGTAGTTTTACCTGGAAGCTGGAACAAAGCATCACAAAGTGGATCGGTGTCATTGCATTTGCAGCAGAGCTATTCTGATCCATGTGTTAGAGTTACTCCTTTCCAATATTTGGTGGACTGTCCTTTAGACCAAGTGAACTTGATGTCTTTCAAAAATTGCTCTTTTAAATAAAATGTAGTCTGGAAACAGAGTCCCTCCCCAGAAATCAAAAGCACTGACCGTAAGAATAGTATGTCCACCCACCAAAGCAGTTCTCCAGTTTTCAGTTTAACTGGTAGCTCATTGTTTTGAGAAAACATAATAGGGAGTGCCAGTGAATCCTTAAAACACAGAAAACTTAGTCTGGGACAGAAATATTCCATTCACACATCCATCTCATTGAGTGACTTTAGTGTTTCCAAGTTTTGTCGGTGATCATGCAAGACAGTAATTGCAGCCTAAACAAGTAAAGAGCAAGTGTATCTTTTTTTAGGTTGCTCAGCTTTCTATTCCTGCTGTGTTCTCCTTTATATTAGCCCCTATTCCATGCCCCAGGGCTCCTTACGAGCTCCTCATTAAGGCATGCACCTTCTTGTGGCTCCCTATCAGCCTCCTGCACTGCAGCAATTAACCCGTTACTGTACCAAGTACATGACTGCTGGAGCATTTATTTAGATTCATAATGCAGCCTCGTTGCATGCCAGGTTTTAAAATTAATTTTGAAGGAAACAAGAGATGTGTTAAAACATGTCAGGTTTTTCCAAAAATAGATCATATCATACTGGTCTCATAACTTTCTTTCATAAATAATGAAGTTTTTCTAAAGAAAGGAAATACAATAGATCCTACTCCCCTTAGTATCTGTAAATCATATTACAGGGCATTGCAGGGGGAGGGGTATTATTTAAACTAGAGAAAGCAGAGATCAGTTGGAAGAACTGTGAGGAACTGACTGGAGAAGAGGTAACAGTGGGTTGTGCTGAAAACAGATCTATTGGGATGGACAGAGATCAGTGGTCTAATCCTACACATAATGCTCTTAGTACTGATCATTTTGTAGGGCCCTATTTTCATTAATAACCACATTTCAGAAAGGGAATATGTTCAGTTGAAATTTTCTGCTTATACAAAGATGGAAAAAAATACCAATAATGTAATAAGCAGAGAAAAGGGAAGGAAAGGAATAGGATGAGATGAGGTTAGATCCTGGAGTATAGCCTCAAGATGGTATGCTTCAGAAAACAAATAATGAAGCAGTGGTTTTAGGAACCCAGTTTGAGTGGATAGCATTGCTTCAGAAGCTGGCTAAAAGAAGAGGTACAAGTTGAGTACTTAAACAATTTGGATTATTTTCCTTACTAATAAAAGTTGAGTGTGAGTTTTAGATAAGTTGTGCCTATACTAAATAAAAGTGTGATATGGGAGAGTTATCTGGAAATGGTGGGGGTTTTTTCTGTTTTTCACTGAATGCCATTGCTCTGAGAGAATCAGTCAGACAGTGTACAGCTTGGGTCACCCATTTTATAGTACCCATGTGCAATAAGATTTATTCAAACTGGGACAAGCACCAAGGTGTATGGGAGACTAAAAGTGCTTTGCTTGTTTACACAAACAAAACAAAGTCTGAGAGAGAACATAACTGTTGTCTATAAATATACAAGGAGGGAGAAGAACTATTTAAAGGATGATGTTCACATAAAAACAAATAGTTATAAAATGGCTGTGAATAAACTCCAATGGGAAATCAGAAGGAAGCACTGGAATGATATCCTGTAGCAGTCCTCCAACAGGAGCAGAGGGAGCAAGAAACTTCACTGGTTAAAGCATGAAACTTGAGTACTTCATGAGACCAATTATGTGATGTGTGGTTGACAACAAAAGCTGGGGTTTGAACTTGATGCAGGAGGTCCTTTTAAATCCTATTTCCTATGTTTCCAGGGGAAGCTGATTTAAATCTTCAGCAAGAGATGTCTTAGATGCTGATAACAGTAATTAATATCTTACACTCTAGTAATACCCTTCCATCTAAAGACCACAAAGCACATTGAACACATGTGGGAATTAAACATCTAAATATCCACCTGTGTTGTTTCTGTTATTTTGCAGCCAAGAAATTGTGATGCCCTGAGCAACTCTTTTTGGATCACTTGGAAAAATATGTAAAAATGAAGAATAGACCTCACCGATCTCCTAGTTTCAAGAATAAACCTGTAGTTCTGAAAATTGTCATCATGTTTCCAAGGCTTTCTAATTCCAGAAAATGTATGAATTGTATACAATTGCTTGTACAAAGCTATAAGCCATATGCTGTTTAGCTTAAAATGTCAATGAGCAAGTCAGCAGCAACAAGAAAATGAAGGTGTTTGTAAATGTTGCATTTAAAAAGCATTTAGAAAAATGAGAGTGGTCCTCCAAAGATGTATGCATCTTCAAAATCAGAACAATGCAGTATTCCACAGTCATTAAATAACGTGTCACGTAGCCACAAACAAGAATCATATAGCTTGAAAAAATGTTGTTTTCCTCTTGGAGAGTTGGAACAACACCGGTTCCGTGTGTGTTAATTCCCACTCTGACTTCCACCGGGAAAGGCACCAAGGGTGGCAAGGGATAGAGAGCAGTCATTCCCTTCCCTCTCAAACCTGCAGAACCCTAGCTGCACTTGCCAGCATTCAAACAGGCATTCAGGACACAGAAGAGACTGAACACACTGGTTTGGTTTTTTTCTGAGGGCTTAAAATCCTCTGTCTTATCCCTACTCTTCCACCTCCATCACAGAGACATGAGTCTTTAAGTCTGTCTGATTTCTTGCTTTCACCATGTTGATCTCTAAACAGTGAAGCTCTGTATACAAAGATGCATTCAGAGGAAGATCTGATTTGTGTAATTCCCACCTACCAATGTCCTGACACTTCTTCCGTTGTTATGTCAGATGCTGGATATGGTCCCCGAACAGAGCAGTTGAAGCCATTACCTTCTGCTCCTTCAAATTCCTCCACTCTGTGTCCTCTGCCATCTTCTTTACAAGCCCCAGGCAAAGGTGAGACAGATAGGCAGGCTTCCATGCCTGTGTAGAGCCATACCCCAAAAGAACTGTCTCTGCCCAGAAAAATATATACTCTAAGCCAAAGGAAGCCACATGTGCAGCTGAGAACAGAAGTTGGCTTCAGTGGTATGCAAACTCTGTTAAAAGCAGGTGCTTGAAACAAGACCAAGCATCTTCCCAGGGTAAACCAGCTTTAAGGATGACGACTACAGTTCAACAAACTTGGGGTTGGAAGCAGTGTTGTGCTGGGTGCAGGAAGGGGTGGGAAAGACAGACAGAGAATTCATGAGGCATCTGAAATTATCCATTTCAAGAAAGTAACTTATTCTCTAGGTGACCAAAATTTACATAGACTTATTTATAATTGAAAAAGATACAACCATGTAGAGGATTGATGGTTAGACTGCTCCCATCCCTTACATGCTGCTGGTTCTACTGGGCTGTAATCTCGCCATTGGCCAGAACGGAGAGCCTTGTTTTTCCAAAGCTCAAAAAAATGAGGTCATGATCCTTATAATAACATACAAATAATGAAAATAAATAACAGGAATTCCAATACACAAAAAGTCCAGATTCTGACCACAAAAATATATGCTCTAAGTCAAAGGAAATTGCACACGTGTAGCTGAGCACAGAAGTTGGCTCAGAGCCCACTTGTAACTAAGCCATCCATTTGAGGACAGAATAGATCCCATTGTCTCTTGAGAGCTTTTTAATTTTTCTTTGTTGTTCTCTAGGACATGAATTATCTAAACTGAAAAACAGAATTTTTTATCCAATGTATCCAATGTAACATGTCTCTGACAGGAAATTTTCTTTTTGTTTTCTTTTTTCTTTTTATTTTTTAAATCAGTTACCACTTTAAGACACTGCTGATCAAGTTCTGTCCTGATTCATTTCATCCAAGACAAGGGGTGAAGGGTTTCCTCCCTTGAGTTCCCATACACCCTTTCCAAGGCCACACTTTTCCACATAGGGACTAGAAGATAGGCAGAGTGGAAAAGTGTCCTTTCTGGCTTTCCTCAGCTTACAATATAGTTTTACTGGCCTTCCCTTGGTTTCTGCCACTGCCCCTTTTTATGGACCTTCTGAAAAGTAAAGTGAAATATAAAGATTAATACAGTTTCAAACCACATTATCTTCCAGTTTTTCTGCAGAGTTTTAGAGCAGTGGAGCCCATTTCTCCCTCTTTCCCCCCACTCTTAATTCCAGCATTTTCTCCCTGCCTTCCCAGAAGATCTCTGCAAAAGCTCATAGAGAAGAAAAATGACGGAAAGTTTTTTTCTCTACTTTACTGGAGAAAGTTGATAGCCTAAAAAAGATATTTAGCCTAAAATCTCTTTGTAGCTGCTGCTTCTGACCTGGGACACACTGAGATTGTCTCAGATCAGCATTTTTAGAAAGATCTGTACACATTTTTGATTTGAGAATCTGCCTTGATTCCAGATATGTCTCTTAATATCTAAAGAGGAGAAAGCTAGAAATCTTGAGGAATATCCACCTGGCTGAAGTAACC